TATGATTTTTAAAGGCACTGCTCTGCACAAATGCTCTTTTCCTTTGTGTCAAGGCACAAGCACTGATTCCAGGCAGCACATTCAGAGACCTGCATGGTCCATAAAGATGGACCTGATGTGCCTGTGGACACACTGTGGATTAATTTAGATATTGGCAATGGAATCGATTTCTTTCTGTTTAATGGTGCATTATAGATTTGGTTGTAAAGCCCCCAAGTTTCTCACAGGATGAGTTCTGTGGTTGATGATGCTGGTGTTCAGGGAGTGCTGTGGTCACACCAGACTGAGAAGGATCCTGCTGTGGTATCAAGGGGAAGGGGAGATGATCCAGGAGCTCCCAGACATGTTTATGTTCCTCCACACTGACTTGGGGAGAGGATATTTTTACTTAATGGCATTCTTCCATGTTTCTTCTATTGTCGTGCTGATATTCTGTGATTTTGCCAGTGCAATTCCCCTGAGAGAAGCTAATGATCGTGCAGGGGACAAAAACAATGAGCAAATGTTCTATTTTAATATGGAATTATGAATTTGGATATGGGCAAAGAATTCAAGCAGATTCAAACTTTAATTTTGATTTTGTCACTTACCATCTAAAACCAGCATAAAGGCATGTAAGTGTGGAAAGGAAAATAATGTTTAAGGATAGCTGAGGTCATAACGCATACATTAACTGAATATAAATACATCAGGTTCTACGTGAACACAGAATTATTGCCAAGAGGCTGTGGAAAGGTGACATTGAAATAAAGCAGCAGACACTGAGAAGCAAGATCCCTGTGAATGAGAGTGAGGAGGAAACCTGCTTCGGTCTTTGCTTGTGACTTTGATCCTGGGTTCAAAGAGTGCTTTCCACAGTTTCAAATGAATGTTTGCACCAGTTTAAAAGCAGGATGTAGTAAAGGAACTTTCAGAGAGAAAATGTGAACACCAAGAGTGAAATAGAGTAGAAAGGCTACATATAAGTCCCTTTGCCTCTCCCATTTATATTGTGTATCCCATGCCTGATACCACTGTGTCACTAGGACAAAAAGGTTTAAAACTAGGGGTTTTAGGAAATAACTGTAAGCACTAAATGTGCCTTTACATTCAAGGCATATATCACAGCACATCTTATTGGTGCTAGGATAACACAGCAGTGTATATTTTTCTATCAGAGTATCCTGGTGTTTAATAACACAGGTCAGAGGGAAGGTCCTCTCCCCTCCCTACTGCAGGTCTCAGACCAGGGGCTGCCTCCACAGAGGTGTTTCCTTTACTCTGTGATCTCCCTGCATCCCCCTCTGGCTTCTGCCCACCACACACCTCCTGGTACAGTCAGACATTGCAGCACTGGGAATTACAGCCCTTCTCTCCTTGTTCGTCATTTATCATTCATCAGGATGATCTCCAGAGATTCACAGCATGTAGAAAAGTAAAATGCACTTAGTTTCTTTCTTCTGCACTTTCCCTTCTTGCTTTTTTGAATTATAATTGTTTCATTTTATTATTTAAGCTCCTTGTGTTTAACAAACACCCGAGACATTTTACATTCAAATTTGTTTTTCTTCTTTGTGTACTCATATAGAACACGGACACAAACATTTGAATACTTTTGGTCCCATTTTCACAACGATTAAGAAAGTCCAAGACAGTGAATTTCCAAAGAGAGTCCAGAGGAGTGCCACAGAGATATTAGTGTCTTGGAGCATCTCCCATATGAGGGAAGGATGAGAGAACTGAGACTGCTCAGCCTGGAGAAGTCAAGTTTGAGGAGGAGTCTTATCAGTGCTTGTAAATATCAAACGTGCAGGAGTCAAATGGATGGGGCCAGGCTCTTTTCAGTAGTGTGCAGCGACAGAAGAAGGGGCAATGGGCACAAACCGGAACACAGGAAGCTCTCTAGAAATGTGAGGAATGGCTTCTTACCTTGAGGATGACAGAGCGCTGGAACAAGCTGCAGAGTTTCTGATGGAGCTATTGAGTGTGGCTAAGTTCATTTCTCATACTAAACAAGCTCTTTAGTTTAGAGTCTGCTGTCTGAAGTCTTGAAGAAAAATGGAGCTGCTCTCAGAGCTGCCCTCAGGGGCTTGATAGGACATAGTCTTGCTGAGGTTCCCTGAGGAGCCCTCACTTGTCCTCTCACTTTATGCTCCCAGTGCTTGCACTCCAGGAGGACCCACAACCCATTAGCCTCCTAATGCACATCCTGTTTTGCTTATTGCTTTATTAATATTGGGCTGAGAATGAAGAGCAGATGTTGCCCAAAAATGGCAGCAGTGTTAGCGAAACAGGGAAGGAAGAAAAGCTGATTTATTGCATTTGTGGTATAGTGGCTAGTGCAAAACCTGGCTGCACATGTGAAATTCTGAAGGAGAAGCAGAACCATTGGCCCCCAGCACCTTCAGCAGGGCTCTTTATTCTCCTCATGGCCTGGGACAGACCAGGGTCCAACACCTCACCAGGCGTCAACAGCTCCCTGTGCCAGCAGAAGCATGTGACTCCCAAATCCATCATAGCCATAGCATGTGGCCTTTGGTCAGCCCACATCATTAACCTCACAAATGGAAACTATGTAGGTCACTCCAAAAGTAAGGTCTTCTATTTATTTCCATGATAACAACAATAGATACAAAGAGTAAAATAACACTATTTGATAGAGCAAATTCTCAGCTACAAAACACTGTTTTTCATAGTCACCACCATTAGCTGTGCATTTTTCCCAGTGATGAACAAGAGCCTGCATGCCGTGTTCTAAAAAAGTGCACCAGTGGAGGTGACCCACTGTCACTGTGGTCACTGCTGAAATGCACCACCCACCGCCTCACTGTGCTTACATCCACTGTTCGATCTCCAAAAATGTGTGTCAATTAAATCAATGGGTGTGATTTTTTCCACATGGAATAATTCAGTGACACACCTTTGCTTCACAAGCACTTCCATGTCAGATGCCATTCTGTCGAACTGCCTCTCTGCAGCCATCTGTCATACAGCAACAAAATGGCACACTGGCAGGAAGGTTCAATATCTACTGCCACACCACCAACATCCATCACTGTTATCGTGGGCAACATAATAAAATAGGAGGCATTACTCTCAGAGCATATTACTCTGTATATGCATGTATCAGTGATGGGTCAGGGACCTTGTGTAGAATGAAGCATTGAGATGTGATGGATCCTTGAGAAACGTCAGCATTAAAGGCCCAACATCTGCTGGACTCGGGGTACCCTATTAACAATAGAAGTGGGGTGAAAGCCTGGAAGGAAAAAGCACGGCTTGGGCTGTGCTGCATTTGAGGATGCTGAGTGCTATGTGGGCAGAAACAGCTACTGAGAACCAATCTAAAATAGACAATGGGATCTTATGGTCCTATTGACCGGGATTATGTGTAAGTAAATCAATCTAATGACTCGGTCTTAAACACTGCTTTTGTTTAGAGGAGAAACAAACCAAACTGAGATCCTGCTGCGCATCTGAAAAGCACCGGGTCTGATCTCTTCAGAAATGCATAGGATATGATTTTCGCACAATTCTTTAGGATTATTTTATGGTAAGGCTTAGGTCACAAAGAGGAACGTCTCAGTCAGTGCACCGTCTGTCAAGGCACAACACAGAATCACAGAATTGCCAGGGTTGGAGGGACCTCAAAGATCATGAATCTCCAACCCCCCTGCCACATGCAGGGCCACCAACCTTCCCACCTAATGCTACACCAGGCTGCCCAGGGCCCCATCTAATCTGGCCGTGAACACTTCCAGGGATAGGGCATCCACAACTTCTCTGGGCAACACACGTCACAGCGTGCAGGAGCTTTTAAACCAGAGGAAACGAAAGCAAGTGTGACTGAGGACACGGCACACACCGGGAGGAGGGCACCTTGAACTGCGTTCCCCAGGTGTGCGTGTATCCCACTTTCGGGCTCACGCTGCAGACAGGACCCTGCACAGCGCGGGACGTCGGGTGCTTCTTTATTTCCCCTACGGAATCCCTTTGTTCTTTCCTCTCACTTCGCAGCATACGCTGTAGTTGGTGTATCGCCCTCCGCAGATTTCACCCCCTGACAAAGCACAGCGGAGCGCCCTCGATGCCGCCCGGCGCCGCCTGAGGTGCCCTTTTGGCGGCGGGCCCGTCTCGCTCTCACAACGGGACGCGAAGCGGCAGCGGGGCGGAGGTAGCCGGGCAGCAGCCGGCATCGCGGCTCCGGGCCGAGCTGCGCTCGCGCCTGCGCTGCCCGGAGGCGGAGGCGGCCGAGGGGCACCGGGCGTGAGGCGCCGGCGGCGAGGGGCCGCGTTCCTCCCCTCCCGCCCCGAGTCGGAGACAAAGCGGACAAAGGAGCTCTCGCGCCCCACGCTCGGGTAGGCAGCGCTGGGCGGGCTCCGGGGGGGCACGGCTCCCGCCCGGCTTTGTTCCCCTTACCCCCGCCCGTGCCGCTCCCCCCCCGCCGGGTGTTTATTTCTGCGCGGTTATTTTTAGGCTCGAAAATAAAAAGCGTGGCACGGCGACCTTTGGCGTAGGGTCGCTCTCCGGGGACACGCCTGTGCCTTATGTAAACCCGTGGGGGCGGTGGGCGCTCCCGGTGTGCGGAAGGGGGGAGGGTGCAGAGCGCCGGGCGGTGCGCTGCTGACCGCCGCGTTGCTCTCCGTCCCGCAGCTCGGCGGCCCCCGGAGCTCCGTCACCGGCGGCGCGGAGGGAGAGAGATCTCGAGAGCCAGAGCGAGCGAGGAGGATGCGGGCGGCGGAGCGGCGGGCGGATGCCGAGCGCGGCCGCGCGGCGGAGGGAGTCGGGAGCCGCCGGCAGCGGGGCCGTCCCGGAGGGCGGGCGGCCCCTTGAGCGCGACCGAGGGAGGATGGAGCCAGAAGCGGCTCGGGCTGACACGTGCGGCCGCGGCTAGGGCCACCCCCGTCCCCTCCCTCCCTCCTCCCCTCCCCGCGATGCTGCACTCCCGCCGGCTCTTTCAGCGCGTTCGACGCGCGGCGGCGATGGAGCCGAGCGGGCGGCTGTGAGGCGCGGCGCGCAGCATGGCCTCGGCGGACGACGCGGCGCAGCAGCGTTGCCCCGGGGCGGAGCGGGCGGCGGCGGCGCGGTGCCGCAGCCTGCCGGCGATCGGCGGGGCGGCGCCCCGGGGCCGCGGGGCCGCGCTCGGCTCCCCCCTGGCGGCCGGGGGCGGCGGCGGTGCCTCGCCGAGCGCCGGCGCCCCGGCGGCTGCCGAGGACGGGCCGGGTGCAGCCGCCGCCGTCGGGACTGCCGGCACCCCGCCTGCCGCCGCCGCCGCCGCCGGCGGCATCGGGAGCTTCCCCCGGAGGACGGAGCCGGCGGCGGCCGGGAGAGGGGTGTCCCCCGGAGCCCCTCCGCCGCCGCCGCCACCGCTGCTGCTGGCGGGGCCGCCGGGCAGAGCGTGCCTTCGGGCCGTGTTGGCGGACTCGCGCTTCTTCCTGGTGTGCATGTGCTTCCTGACCTTCATCCAGTCCCTCATGGTCTCCGGCTACCTGAGCAGCGTCATCACCACCATCGAGCGGAGATACAGCCTGAAGAGCTCGGAGTCGGGGCTGCTGGTCAGCTGCTTCGACATCGGGAGCCTGGTGGTGGTGGTGTTCATCAGCTACTTCGGGGGGCGCGGGCGCAGGCCGCTCTGGCTGGCCGTCGGGGGCTTCTTCATCGCCCTGGGGGCCGCTCTCTTCTCCCTACCTCACTTCATCTCCCCGCCGTACCAGATCCAGGAACTGAACTCTTCTGTCAGCAACGAGGGCTTGTGCGTGACCGGCAACGGCACCTCCAAGGAGCAGTGGGACTCGCCGGCCTGCATCAAGGACTCCGGTGGGAACGATCACTCCCTCTATGTAGCTTTATTCATTTGTGCCCAAATTCTCATCGGCATGGGCTCCACACCTATCTATACCTTGGGACCAACCTACCTGGATGACAACGTCAAGAAAGAGAACGCCTCGCTTTACCTAGGTAAGGCATCTCTGGCTGAGCTCTGGGTTTCTGAGGTACCATCTGAAGGTGCTTCAACTCTGTGCCTTCTGAACAGCACCAGGTTGCCTTCCAAAGGAAACTTTCCAAATAAAATTGCCATGCTTTCCTGTGATAAAATGCCCTCTCCCCTCCATCCCTTTTCTCGTGGGATGGTGACCAGCAGTGACAGGTGAAGCTCAGGCAGTGTGTAACTGTGGAGCAGAACATCAGAGAAGGTTGCCTTCCCCAGGGTAAGCAGGTGACTTCTGCAAGCAGTGCTACAGTTAGCTCAGCCCCTTCAAGAGTGTTCTTTTTGCTAATGCAGAAAAAATGCATTTCCAAATTTCGACCAGCGTGCTTTTCGTTTGGAGTAGTTACAATGCTGATGTTTTATCGACACTTTGACAGATTTTTACATGTTTTGTTTTACTTTCCCAGAAGTTATTTAGCAATGAATTTTGGCAGGCGTCAATAAATTATGTGGGTACTCAGTTGGAAAGAACTTGGATATAACAGTAAGTGACACCTTCAGGGTTTGAGCTCAGTTGTGTGTGAGAGCTTGAGGAACACCCCAAAGTTACAGCCCTCTGCACTGGAGTTTGGCAGGTACAGGAGGTGTTCCTATCATGCAAGAAAGGATTTTCTTGCTTAACTATGTACTGAACTTATTTGGGGATTGGAGATGATAGGGAACACTGTACATTTTTGATAGATGTGTGTAATACGAAGGAGGATTTGTTGTTCCCTGCGCTCTGCTGGTATCTTATGTGATTCTGTGAGAAATGAATCTCAGCCCTTTAAATCATTCTCAGATTAAGGGAGGCATTGATGGTGCTGGGAGAGCTGCTAAGTGGATGCTCAGCATTCCCATTGCCAGTTAATTTGCTGCATCTTTGCAATAACCTTGGAGGTAATCATTCCCCATAAAATAGACATTTATGACAGGAACTCACATGGTGTGAGTGTAATTACTTTGTTAAGCGAAAGTAATGATCCACATCGGTGTTTTTTCTTCCCTGTGACCTATTCATCAGCAACATGACTGCTCCCTGAACCATTTTAAAGTCAGTTCTATGTGTAGTGTCTTGAGAAAGCCCTGAGCTTGTGTGAGAGCACAAAGGAAGTGTAGGTATTAGCTGTGTTTTCTCTGCTGTTCTCACAGCGCTGCTGATCTGCCTGGTGAAATATTCTATACAGCATTTTCCCCAGCCTCTGAGAAAAGTGTGCTGGGATGGAAATTCAGCTTAGCCTGGAAGAACAAAGTGTCTCATTGCTGAGGTCCATAGCTGTAGCTTGGAGCAGCAGAGAGTGGGCTGAAGATTTTGGCAACAGGTAATTTCATACCATTCTTAAAAACAAGGGAAAAAGAGGGAATTGGCTGCAGGTGAGACGTGAAGGGCAAAGGAGAGGAGTGGAGCGAGAGAGCCCTAATGAGGGGGTGGCAAGGTTATTGGAAATGCTCACTGCAGGAGAAACTGTGCTGCCATGAATTTCTGCTGGCACAGGAAGTCATGGCAAAGTGACTCAGGCAGCTTTTAATTGCTGCAGAAATCAGCCTTAAAGTTAGCAAAGGTAAAAGACACCAGCAACTGCTGGAAGGCTGTGGGTGAGCCGGGAGCCAGGCAATGAGTGCTGCTTTGATCTATACTGGGAATGCCCACATAGATGGGATGTTTGTGTGTAGCAAATGAGAAAAGTGAAGGTGAGATACTCAGCTGAAGTGTGAATGTGGGTTTTGTGCCAGCCATCTGATCTGTCCGCCAGGAAGCAAGTTAACATGAACACAAAGCACGTTTAAAAGATTCACCAGGATGTATCATTGCTTCCTGTCAGTTTTTATGCTATACAGTATTTAAGTGCAGGAGTAGGATCTGAGTGCTGTGGAAAGAAAAAAAAATAAAGATCACTGTTGGTCATGCTGGCATGAGCAACCTGTGCTTGGTGCTTCTCTGAGGTTCAGAATGTTTCAGTTCTTGAGGAGAGGCCTTCATAGGCAGTGGGCAGCCTGGCCAGGCATGGTGTGGACCATAGAGGCAAGTGTGTTGATTGCCGGGGCTCCGTGGCTGTGGATGTGTGTAGCCAAAAGCTAACCAGAAATCTTGGGCTGGGCTGCTTGGAGGTTTTGAAAAGAGAGCCTGTGAAAGCATTCCTTTCACACGAGGATGCTTCTCAGTGAAGATGGCTAATTTCAAACTAGAGGTATCCTCTAATGCAGAGTGTAAAGTCACCAGTGTGTTTTGTTGGAAATCAGGCTGGTACTGCATGCTGTGCTTTTTTAATTAAAACAGATTTAAATATTCAACTGAAAAACATTTGTTAGGAAGCATGCACATGATAAAAGTTCCATGGAGCTGCACAACTTGGGAGCACTTCAGCCCTTCCAGTTTGCCTGCTGACTGTTGGATAGTGAAGCCCCCTCAGCATCACTAATCCTGATGCTGCAAAAGTTCACCTTATGTGGATGTGGAGGCTATTTTATTTATTTTTCGAGTTAATCCAGCTCAGGGCTCGAGTGGCAATAGCATATCCTCTTAAGTGTAGGCATGCAAGCTCAATGCAGACAGCTGTTTTAACATTCCTGGCTGGAAGTCCTGCTCTAAAAAACATATTTGGTGCTTATACATAGTCTCTTGGCTGCCTGCACTCCAGTCCATCTGTCGGGGTGGCCAGGTGCCAGTTCGCAAGGTGGTATGTTGCTTTTAGTAGGACAAAGGTGCCAAGGGGACACGTGTTGGGGCGCCTGCACGGCGATGTGTGAGCTCACTCCTGCGGGATGTTTCTCCCTTGTGAAGCTCGGGGTGCTCAGCCCCTTGGCCTGGCGGGGCTTTGATGCTACAGGGCTGACCTGGAGAAAATGCATGGCATCAGGCTTGGAAGCAAGCCGGGATTGTAGCAGGTGTCTGGAAAATGCAAGAACTGACTCCCTTAAACTGACTCCCATAGATAATGCAAAATGGAAGGTACACACCTTCTGTAGAAACTGCTGAATCACTAAATTATAGAATCATTGAATATCCCAAATTGGAAGGGGGCTCATGAGGATCATCGAGTCCAACTCCTCGTGGCTCCACACAGGACCACCCAAAAATCAGACCACAGAGTTGTCACTGTCTGCTCCTCAAATCTTGTCCCCTGGTGCTTGGCTGTAGGGTAGCATGCCCCAGCATGCAGCTTGTTCTTGAAGGTACACCAAGGTGAAAACCCTTCCAGTTCATTCAGAGTCAGATTAGACTTCTAAAGGCTTTTTGTACCCTGCCTCAAATTCTGAAACTTAAACACAGTGGTGTTTTTTTTTTTTTGTTTTGTTTGTTTGTTTGTTTTTTTAGGGATCTGATAGTTTGTCTTGACTGTGAGGTCATTCTGCAATTGTATCGTGAACTGTAGGAGCTGTTCCTGGAATTAGCTGTGGCACTTGGAAGGTTTCATAGTGGCATTATGGTGCCTGAATAATTTTAAAATGTTTTACTTCTTTTGCAAGTGCCTATTGTAATAACAAAAGAATTTACTTTGAAAATTCATACATTAGAGGACAATATGGGAATTTACAGAAGTATTGCATTGATGAGAATATTTCAGCGTTCAGAAACACCTGGCTTTCGCTGGTAACCTCCAGAAAGGAGTCTAGATGGATTAGTTGTTATGCTAAGGATGCTCTATTGTCTTATTCAAGAATGCTGTTAGCTGGTGATGATGGGTTATTAGCAAATGGCCTATGCAGATTTAGCAGAAGGTAGGCTTTCAGTAGTTTAGAGAACAAATGATAATTACAAAATGCAAACATAAAGCTTGTATGAGAAAACAGCAGAAAAAATGTATAGATGTGTGTAACTGAGGTTGGTGCAGATAATGGCATGAGAACTAGGGAACTAAAATCCTTTCCTGCCCTGGAAGAAGAATAAATATTTAGACGTGTTTCTAAAATACTTGGACTCCGTCTTTGTTTTCAGGAGGACCATTTGTGGATTGCTATTTCTAACATTAGCAGAAGAGTATCAAAGCTGAAATTGGCAAAAGTGCTCACCAGCGTTTTTTATTGCTCGCTGGATTTCCTGTTTAAAAGAGCAGTGTGCTCAGGTTATTCTCAGCTGCAGGATCGGTTTATCTGAGTGAAAACTACACCTTAGTTCATCCGTGGGCTGATGCTCAGAGCTGCCCATGAGCAGCTGTTTGCTTTGAGGGAGCAGGGCAGGCTGCAGCTGGGCACTGTGCTCTCAGTCCAATGCAGCCTCTCGGGGTGCAGCTGAGGGGGCTGCATGTAGGCATGGATCGGATTGAGCTCTGTTCCCACACAGATGATTTATTACTCGGAACACTGACTATTGTGCTTCTCTGGCATTTCTGTAACCTCCTTTATGTTAAAATGCTGATCAGGCAGCGACACGGTTTGTAATAATTACTTGAAGTTCAGCTATGCAGTTTTATTACCTTATTCTACAGCTGAGGTGGGGCCCAGGAGCACGAAGCTCCCGGAAATACCAGCCTCAGTAGCTGTATTTGCTTAGACCTTCTAGGTCTGGGAGTGCCCCTTCTACCTGCTGGTGCTCAGGAATGCTGCTTGCTCAGAGCACAGCTCCTCTCTTGCCAGGAGAGTTCTGCCGCCGACCTGATTCTGGCAGACAAGTGTCTGGGCATGCAGAGCTCCCCAGAGAAGCCTGGAAACTTAGACATGAAAGCAGCCTTTGAGCACCGGCTTGTCTGTACCTTCTCCCAGGGACTGAAGGGTTGGGATCCAGTGTCTAGTTTCCCTGTGGCTGGAAACTTTAGCTCGGTACTCTGATTGTTTTGTAAAGAGTCCCTGTAATTGTTGCTGCTGCTGCTGCTGCTGCTGCAGGTGGGTTCGATTCGGAGTTGCCAGGGATACTTTCCCTTAACTCTTATGCAGTAGCCCCTGTACCCTGCCAAGCTTTGTGGCCATGTAAGCTGTAAGAGTGCTTATGCAGTCAAAGGGGAGGAGAATCTCATATAGGTGGGCAGATGGGGTTGCTCCGTCCCATCACACA